ACAGGGTCTTGACACCACAATTTACCGCCAGCTTCAGACAGCCCTGGATCATGGTGCGTGCATGTGGTTTACGTAATCAGAATGGTCTCTAGATGCAAACCCGACACCTTTCCCCCGGGTCAGCCTCACAGAGTGTTATGTTTCACCACTGCATTCTTCTTTTTCCATGATCCCCCTATCCTTATCTAAAGTAAGCATTAGAGAATATATTCTACTTGGAGTCTGAGCTGTGCTCTCAGACCACTTCCAGTCCACAGAAGCCTGAGGCCCCAGGATCATTTCAAGTCTACTTATAGCCTCCTCTAGTCTTCACTGAAAGTTTAGCACCACTCTCAAAAATTCAGTCAGCTTCTTCTGTATTTGATTCGAGTCAGTGCCATGTGCCACAGTCATATCCACTGCTGTACTTCCTGAGACACAACTTTCTCCTTTCTCTCTTACTTACAAGTAGCTTGAGCCTATGAGACTGTCATGGAAGGACCTGTACCATTTTGCCCAATTGAAAAGATTCAGTGGATACCACTTTAATCTATTAAAGGGTTTTTTGTTGTTGTTGTTTGTTTAATGTTTGGTCAGATAGTATGTATGGGGGGAGGGGGGAGAAAGCACCACATCTCCCTATTCATGCTACAATCCTTTTCTCTCTAATTCTCTATCCTGTCAGTATCTTGGTACAAGTACAGATATGCCTGGAAGGTTTTTCCAGCTGTCAGTCTGGGATTTTAACCCTGATTGGCCATGTAGACCCTAGCTTTGCTTGAGCAGTGCTTAACTGCTGCCCGACAGGGCTGGGCCCCTGTTCATGGGTTTTAGTCATGGGCGTGACAATCATATCCTTGATTTGATGCTTGCACCAAGGTTGAGTTCTAAACAGCCTGTTTTGCTCATCTCACTTCTGTTTTTTTAATGGTTAAAGAAGAGAATCATTTTCACCTTTCTATTGTGTAAGTTTCCAAATTTGGGGATGCCCTACAATCGTTTTCGTTCATGATTGCAAACTAGACAAAAGTTTTCTGAGCTCATCTCTTCCTGAAGTATTTTCTATAATTAACACATGCCATCAGCTTTCCGTTTTCCAGCCTCTTCCACTAGAGCTACAAGTTTATAGGTAAACATGGAAACCAAGCTCATTCCATCCGATGGCCTCAGGCTTATTGTTTTTTGTCTAGAATATATACTTTTAATTATCACTCATTCCTCTGATCTTTGAGGTCTCGATGCAAATGTCACCTCTTCAGAGGGGTTTTCCATGCCTCCCATGCTACACCACGCTATCACATGGAATTTTGCCAAACAGCTCACTCCTGAGTAATGAGTCATCCTTACGACTTCTCATATCACTTCCTTTGTTGTGTACTACCTTGCCCCTAAGCCAATGCCATTTATTTAACTTTTTGCTCTAGTAGCACTTCCATTCTGGTAATAACTTTTGTATCAGTCAAGATTGGTTTAATGTTGCTCCAGCAATAACAAAATCTCCGAGGCTTAAAATAGCAGAAGTTTAATTCTTATTCATACTGCATATCTACCATTGGCTTGTGGGAGAAGCTCTATTCATCTAGCCGCTCAGGAAGCCAAGATGAGTGTGTAATTACACTATCTTAAGTGTTGCTGGCTACTGTAGTGGGAGAAAGACAGCCCCAAAGGGTCTTGCATTGGCAAGCATGTAAATGACTCATGTTACTTCTGCTCATAACTAATAGGCCAAAATTAGTTATATGATGTTACTCAACCACAAAGAAGCAGGAAGAGCAATTTGCTTGTGCCCAGAATGACAGACAAAAGGAAATATGTGTTAAGCACCATGAGCACTTAACAAAATAAGTAAATAAGAAAATAATGACAGTGTTTGTGATAAATCCTATGAAAGGGGAAAAAAAAAATCCTGAGACACATTATCGGAGACTTGAGGGACACATATGATGTGGGTGATCTAAAAGTTCTCTCTGAAGAGAGGCAGTGAGAG